CGGCGCGGCGCCTTGAGTGCAACACCAGTTAACAGTTTTTGCTCTTCTTCTTCATCTTATTGGACTTTGCCCTGTTGCAGCTACAATTGTTGTTGTTGCACATATAATTGTCGCCGCCCGCCACCATTCTCGGGGTGTTTCTTCGCGGTTCCAATGTGCCAAGAATTGCCAAGCCCTCGAGCAACCTTCTTCTATTTGCTTGTTTTGGTTCTCGTATTTGGGTTATGCCTTAATTGGCCCGACGTAGAGCTCTGGTACACCAGTTGCCCACTTACCAATCGCTTTGTATAAGGCTAATGATAAATACACAAATACATCAACACGCGTGCGAATACATGCATACATTCATATTACACTGATATATTGCTTACATTGAATAGAATTCCCTTTTGTAAAGGGTAAAGGTCTTATATGAGTAGAATAGAGCCCTAAATATATATATTCTTCTATACTATACAATAACTAAGCTTATATTTTTGTCGATCTCCGATATCCAAAATATCGATAAATATCGATTTTGAGATTTCGTTTCATAAGCATTACTGAAAAACTAAACTCGGGATGTAGGATCTCCGATATCCAAAACATCGATAAATATCGATTTTGAGATTTCGTTTCATAAGCATAACTGAAAAATTAAACTCGGTATGTAGGCTCTCGTATAGTATACACATGTGAATAGATATTTTTGTGAAATTCTTCCCCAATTCCCTGCAAATTTTAAGGATAGTGCATTCATATATATATTTGAACCCTTTAATTTTCATTTGGAATCTAAATCTAGCAACATTATTCTTGGTCAATTTTATGCAATAGTGGTACCTTCAAATATTCATATAGCAATAAGTCAAAATTTCCCACCCCCATAACTTGGTAAAATCTTATCCAATTTCCACGAGGTTTGGCTCTTTGTTCATGGGTTGGCCTCTAGATCAAAATATAGCAACATTATTTGAGGTCAAAATTCATGTAAGAATGGAACACTCAAATAACCTATAAGAACATAGGTCAAAATTTCCCACCCCCATAACTTGGTAAAATCTCATCCAATTTCCACGAGGTATGGTTCTTTGTTCATGGTTTGGTCTCTAGATAAATTTGGTATCAAAATCTGGCAACAGTATTTGAGGTAAAAATTCATGTAAGAATGGAACCCTCAAATAGCCTATAAGAACATAGGTCAAAATTTCCCACCCCCATAACTCGGTAAAATCTCATCCAATTTCCACGAGGTATGGTTCTTTGTTCATGGGTTGGTCTCTAGATAAATTTGGTATCAAAATCTGGCAACATTATTTGTGGTTAAAATTTATGTTAAAATGGTACCCAAATCTCTATATATAAAACTGTTTGTCCTGACTGACTGACTGACTGACTGACTGATTGGTGATCAACGCACAGCCCAAACCGTAAGAGCTAGGAAGCTGAAATTTTCACTGTAGCTACCTTATGTGATGTAGGTGCACGTTAAGACGGGGTTTCGGGAAATTCCACCCGCAAGTGTGGAAAAATCGCGAAAAACGTTTGTATGTAACTTTTTTGCTTACCATCCGATCGGCCTCAAACTTATTTTCAAAGATCTTTGTTCAAATTCATTTGAGGGGTGTTTCACACTTTTAGGAAAATCCGTTCCTCCTGGGTGGAAATGGAGGTCAAAGATTTGGTGGGTGACGTTTCGCGCTCAAATTCATTTCCAGAGATCTATAAGAAAAATCATTTGAGACGTGTTTCACACTTTTCGCAGAATTCAAACTTCTTATGGGGGAATGCGATTTAAAAATTTTTTGGGAGAAATTTTAAGTTGTGTCCGATTTGCTGCAAACTTATTTTCAAAGCTCTACATAAGAACTTAATAAATACGTATTTCAGCGATTTGGGAAATTCCTCCCGCAACAGTGGTAAATTGGCGGAAAACGTTTGTATGAAAGTTATTTGTTTACCGTCCGATCAGTTTCAAAATCATTTCAAATTTGTTTGAGAACATTGATTTTATAACATACGTGCCACGGGCAAGGCCGGGTTATACCCGCTAGTATCTTATATAGACAAAGGTTAAAATTTCCCACTCCCCTAACTCGGTCAAAACGCAACCAATTTTCAAAAGACTTGGCTTTTTCTTCATGGTTTGGTCTCTAGATAAATTTGAGGTTTGGCTCTATGTTTATTTATTTTATACGTACCACGGTCAAGGCCGCGGTATACCCGCTAGTACAATATATATGTAAAATATAGGATTCAGTTTCATTCTACTGAAATAGTCTTAAATGCCTTATTTAGAGGTACATGCACAGAGCTTAGTACACAGATCACAGATATTCATTTTTTTTTATCCTGCTCAAAAAAATGTAAAAAGAAAAACATATTGTGAGGGATGGACTGTTTATAGACATATTTTATGACGCTGCTGACCCTGATCGGATTTCTATATTTACATTTCGTGAAATTATGAAAGCTAACTAACTTTAAAATAGTGAAATTGCACTTTTTTAAAGATAAGTCTCTCAGTTTATTCAAAATCCATCCAGTCTTTTGAAAAGTGAGTTCCAATGATTTGAGGGCGAAAATCTACATAGGAAAAGTGTCCTGGCATGTAAATGGTGTTGTGTCAGGTGTTGGGCTAATTATAATGTGTTCGAGGCAGTCATTCACACAAATTTATTGACATAGACCTAATATATGTGCACCATTTAAGCAATACGAACTTAAAGAAATGGCTTCGAAGCTGGCTAATAAGAGTGACCACCATTTTAGATTAGATTTGGGCCATTCGGTCGCTAATTTACAATGCGGCATCGCTCATTGGCTTGCCGGCGGCGCAGTTTGGTTGGCTGTTGGGCCGCCCTGCCGTCAGCTGGATTAGCATTTTGATATAGTAATCGACCGCAGCGTATAATAATTCTTGCGGTTTCATTACGCCAACCACACACCCTTCGACATGTTTGCTGCGCAACCGCCGACTGACAACACATACCACCACCACCAGCAGCACGTCCAACAGTAGCAGCAGCACCACCACTAGCAGCCCTTCTCCTTGGAAGCAGCATTCGCGTCTTGTTGGTACATGCAAAAACCGCAAAATGTAGGAGGGTTGAACGTTTATATGCCGACAGGTCGGCACTGTTAGGCAAGAAAACTCCGCCCTGGTGACAAAAAGAACTCAACGAATCCATCTCCTGTGCGTCTGGCTCTGTGTGTGTGTGTATTAGTGAGGGGACGTCTTACGCTCATGTGGTTACTGTTGCAATTTTTCACTCAAGGCACCCGATTCGGGGCCTAGCTTGAAAAAAAAAATAAAAATAATACAAAAAAAAAAAAAAAAATTAAATCGCCTCGTCTTTGGCCGCAAATGACAGCCGCAAGATTTTACCGTACCACCACTACTTGCCTCTCTCTCTCTCTCTCGCGGTTTTTCTCGCTCTCTCTCTCTCTCCCTCGCTTTGCCGCCCACACTTATGCGCCATCTCGCTCCGGCACGCTCGCCATCCCGTTCGCCCTGGCTGCCCGTCTCACTCGCTCTGCCTTGCTGCCTGTCTATGCACATTCTCTGGTTAGGTAGAGGCTCGCCGCAAAGCTGCGCGCCGGTTTCAATTTTTTGGCCACCGTCTCGGACTTGCAATTCTGAGGTCTGAGCGCCGCTCCCGTGCCGGAGTCTTGGGACAGTAGTCGACAGCGCCTTATTTACCACGCTGTTGAGATTTTTTCGCTTGAGTCAAAGCCAGAAGACGTCGCAGCGCACTTCCAAGACGTCTTTCGGGGGTTGCTAGCGCCAAAGAGAAGAAGAAAAAATGGAAGGCGAAAAAAAAATAAAAGAAGTACAAAAACAAAACGAAGGGAAATACCATAAGAGCTGCATAGAAAAATGAGTCGAACAGCAGGTCGCAGCTTCCAGCTGCCAAATTTAACTCAATTTTTTTTTGCTGCTCCCCCGGCCGTGCCCCCACTTGCTTCCAGCGGCCGCCTGGTCTCTAAGCAGCTCGCGAAGGTGTTGCGAGCGCTAAAATTGAGCGCTTTTTTTTCGTTTCCAGGAGCAGCCCCCAACCCCATTCACTGGAGGGCTGGGCGGCTGGGAGGTTGGCAGGCGACTTGGGTGGTTGGGGCAGCAACTTGAAGACATCGTTGCGGCCTTTCTGCTTGTGGTGTAGTTGACGTTTTTGGTTTCGGTTTCGGTTTTGGCTTGGCTTTCGGTTCGTCAGTGCTGCCGCTGCCGCTGCCGCTGCTGCTGCTGCTGCTGCTGCTGCTGTCGTCGTCGCCGCTGTCGCCGACTGCAGCGTCGTTGCCAGTCGCTGGCGCTGCAGTCGCTGTTGGCGTCGCTGCTGGGACACCACAAGTAAAAACCACTGCTACTGGTTCTCGTGGTAAATGTTAAGCCAAGAAAAAGAATTATATACCCAACGCGGTTGCTTGAAAAACGCAAAAAGAGGCGGCACTCGCACTCCAAAGGCGGTAGCCATTGACTCTGAATCTAGCATCCAGCATCCACAGGCACAGGCACAGCCGTAGCCACATCCACATTCACATAGACGTCGCTGCTGCTTCGTCGCAGCCTCGTCCTCGTCCTCGTCCTCGTCCTGGTCCTCGTACTCGTACTCGCCTTCGTCCTTGCCCACCGTCGTCATTATGATGACGCGCCGTTGACTTCGCTGTCGGCGTCGCCAACCGCTCATAGTGGTCGCGTTCATGGTTACCGCAAAAAAATAGTTTAATATCTCCGTGTCGTTTGATTCGATCGCCAGCCCCAGAATCCAAAGCGAGCACACAAGCGACAAAGTGCCATATCTCAATCTGGAGCTCAATCTCAAGCGGTTCTAACAATCAGTGCAGTGTGTGTGTGTGTGTTGTGTATTGTGTGTGCTGTGTGTGTACTCAACAAATTGTTAAATATCGAATATCGTTTTTATTAATACAATTTATAATTGATATTTTTTTACTGTGCACATTTGTGATATAATTCAAGAAGTTTTTTTTTTTGCGTGCCACAAATTTAACTAAATTTACATAAATTACTCGAAAAAGCTAAAACTTTATTGCTCCAATAACTGGAATATTCATATGGTGCTATAAGAAATGTAAGTTTAACAGAGTTTTGGACACAATTTGTATGAAGTTAATTTTTCTATATACCTGAGCAACGATTGAGTTGGGCTACTTGGCGTATACTTGATTATAGTTCAATAGGAAAGCAAATAATATAGAGTATCAGATATGAGTTGTGATTGGGGAGACGATCGTAAATGGATTGATCTGGCGTGTTTAGAACAGATAATTGATTTATAACTCCTGATAAATTTGTTGCCCATTCACCGGATTAATTCGTGCATCACGAATCATTGATAAGGATTCATATTGATTAAAACTCCAGATCAGCTCGTACATCACGTATCAGAAATCATTGATAAGGATATGTTCATTTATATAGTTTATGTTACAAAATGTCCATAAAAACCGAGCAGCATAATACAGGAGCTAGTCAAAGATAGATCAATGGAATGTGACTGGCTTAAAATACTTGAAAATACTTCAGACAAATTCATGGATTTTTTTAACAAGCAACATTCCAAATTTGATTAATTCTTTTTGTGATTCCTTGTACATGTTGACTGCATGGGAACTATATAAACTAACTTAGAGAATTTCAATTGCAAGAATAATATTCATAATGCCTATTTAGCCCGTCAGCCTTCACAGCAGGCTCATAGGAACCTGCCCCAACATGCACTCGACAATAAGTCCACGAACCCAGACCAAATTCAATTTTTCCATTGTCTCATTTTCCTGTCGCCTGTGCACTGTTCCCCCGTTGCCCGCCTACTGTCTACCGTCCACTGTGGGCCCAGGTCCTTTGTCTCGTGTCCCGTCTCTGTGGCCACATATGTCGCCGCATAGTCACTGGACGAGCTCATTTGTTGCCCAGCTGCGCCCGTCGTGTATGCAAAAATTCAAACGGAAGTTGTAAAAAACGAGTACATATACTACCTACAGATTGTGCTAGTACACGCATACACACCCACACAGATACACTGCATGTGTGTGTGTGTACATAAACAACAACAAAAATAGTTGTCGAATGGCACAAAAAGCATTGCAAAAACAAAACGCATCGCGTCAGGCGCAACTTTTTTATTTATACGCAGTCGATGCAGCTTCAAAAGGTGTGTGTGGGCGCGTGTGTGTGCGTATGCGTATGCGTATGTGCGTGCGAGTGTATATTGCACATTGTTGATTTTTTTTTTGGTGGCCAAACACAAACAGGCAACAGCTGGCGCTTTATTATTATCTTTTTTATTTATATACAATTTTTTCCCTGACAATTTTTGCCGTGCACATTTTTTTTTTTTGTATTTGTATTTCTGATGTCCTGGGGAATCCGCGTGCACATATTGCATCTGCAGCTCGCCATCCATCTTAGTTGAGCAATGCTCCTACCCGTCGCGCTGCGTATTGGCCATGATTTTTAATATTTAATTGAGCTGCGCTCGTCGGCGGAGGCTTAAATGCAAATTGTGCGCAAAGGTGCGCGGTTGTCCTGCGGGCCAAAAGGCCCATAAGCAAAGCGTTTGACATATCCACACACAGGCCAGGCCGATATCGTGCTCAACGTTTCCAAAATTCTGGATAACATAAAGTGGTTCGAAAAATGTACTGCATACTTTTGCGGGCAACTGCTTAGAAACGTCACGTGTGCCTCAACGCTGAGAAATGCGCTTGAAAAACACAACTTGACATGATCAGCAAAAAGTTAAAACGTGTCCAAAGCTGTTAAGGTGCAAGTGTAGCTGCTGAGAAACGATCGTGCCACAAATCGACTCATATATGTGCTGAACCAAACTATTTATAGACTTGGCTCTTGTTGAAAAATATGCAAAGATAGTGAAAAACTCTAAACAAGTGCAGAAAGTATAAATAGGCTATAAATAATTATTAAGTTTTATCTATTTATTTAATTATTTAGTTGCAAAATACAAGCCTTGCTTATAGAAAATTTTAAATCCATTGCGACTTAAAGGACCTCAAATAGCTAGATAATGTATTGCTTTCATCAAACTTGCTTACATCAATTTAAATTCTGTGGCATAGTGTAATTATTATTTTTAATTATATATTCTTGAAGTGGAGCCAAAAATAGAGCAGTCCAGAAGGCATATTCCAGCAGTCAGTCTCTTCAGAAGCCTAAGCTCTCTGCTCAAGTGTACTGCATTAAATAAATTAATAAAAATTAATAAATTTATCGGATAGATTGATGAGATTGCGTCTCTCCTTGCAGATGACCAAGTGCGCGAATCTATAAAACAGCTGGCAGTAAAAATAAATATTGACTAAAACCAAAGACATAAACTCTCGGAATTATTGGCAATAATGCACATTTCAGCTGAGGTCAGTTCGACCACCTCAAATCAAACAACACACCAGCAACAGCAACAGCAGCAGCAACAACACCACCAACAACAACAACAGCAGCAGCAACAGCAACAATCGACACAGCAACAGCTGCAACAGCACACAGCGGCAACAACAACAACAATAACAACAACGGGCAGCACAACGAAGCGACGCAATGCAGAGTCTAACAACAACAACAGCAACAGCAACAGCAATAACAACAACAACAACAATAGCAACAATAGCAATAACAACAACAGCAATAGCAGCAGCAAAAACAAACCCGTGGATACAAGTCCGTACCTGACGCCCGAGAATCTGATCGAGCGCACCGTCGATGTTCTGCTAGCCGAACATCCTGGCGAGCTTGTCAAAACGGGCTCACCGCACGTGGTGAGTATTTGGCAAGGTTCTCCCTCCCACATCCTTCAACTGGATAACATGCACACTCTGCACTCAGGTCTGCACGACGCTGCCCACGCACTGGCGTTCCAATAAAACGCTGCCCATTGCCTTCAAGGTCCTGGCACTGGGCGAGGTCATGGATGGCACCATTGTCACAATACGCGCCGGCAACGATGAGAACTTTTGCGGCGAGCTGCGTAACTGCACCGCCGTCATGAAGAACCAGGTAGCTAAGTTCAACGATCTGCGATTTGTTGGACGCAGCGGCAGGGGTGAGTACGAACTGTAATCAAATAAGCAAGGGGACACGCGTGTCTTCGGCACGCCGAAGTTTCAATACCCTTGTGGATTTATGGCTAACGGTCTTGTAGATGTCTGAGGAGAAAAGTGATTGCCGAGCCTAATGAAGATATGTTGAAAGAACAGAATCTTCGCCATACACAAACCCATTTTGCGACCGATCTCTCATATAGAGCTACATCATATAGTTGTCCGACATTAATAGGATTTTAATCGTGTGTAAAACTTGTATATACTAAGTTTGGTTAAGATATCATGAAAAACAAAAAACGTTTTCATACCGATATTGATGGGATTTGGTTAATATGTAAGGCGCATAGAAAAACTCACATATGCTTAGTTTGGTTTTGATATCTGGAAAAACAAAAAGCTTTTTCATACAATAATTTAATTTCCGACCGATCGTTCCAATGGCAGTTATATATAGTGGTGCAATACTAATAGGATGTGAATCAAATATAAGAGGTGTAGTCAAACTAATAAATACTGAATTTGTTCTAAAAATAAAAAGTTGTTTATTCGAGTGCCCAATTTCCGACTGATCTTTCCTATGGCAGCCTTCTGGTATACTGGTCTGATCCTTCCGGTTCCGACAACAGAAAAACCAACCGATGAAAAGTTTCTGGAGGAAAGCTCTAAAACTGTGAGAATATTTAGCATAGAAACAGTCAGCTGGACAGAAGAACATGGCTTTATCGACTCGGCAATTCACACCGATCAAGAACGTACTTATAAGTATATATTTTATGTGGTCGAAGTTGTCTACTCTTTTGCGTCACATATTTCATGACAAAAATACCATACATTTTACAAGGTTATAAGAAGCTAAATCTTAAAAAATTCCTACATGAGCAATGAAGTTTTCCTTTCCTTTCCCTAGATGACACAGCTCCATAAAGCTTTAATAACTCACGATTCTTTGTATGATAGAAAACTCCACCGGGTTGTATGTTTTCTCAGAGAAAACATATTGATCAGCTAAGGGAATCATCGTCATAAAAGTGCAGAAAAAAGCTCTATGCGAAACTTATATCAGTAATTTTGTATGTAACTATTATTGATCTGCGTTTGAAAACAATATTGTATGTATAGATTATTGATTTGAATAATTGTATTTATATTTAGCTATCAGGCAATAGGTTAATGTGGGCTGGTTTTAATTTTTATTTAATAACAAATGAAAAAAAAAGAAAAAATCTCGAAAAAGTAGGCCGCGCGGTTCTATGAGAATCAGCAATTATCCTGATATGCTTAAAAATCCTTATTTTAAAATAGACATTTATCGAGTTGGCTGTTAAAAAGGGAAGGTATCGAAAAAGCATTAACTGAAACTGCGTTATCTCTATATATAAAACTGTTTGTCCTGACTGACTGACTGATTAATGATCTACGCACAGCCCAAGCAGTAAGAGCTAGGAAGCTGAAATTTTTACAGTAGTTACCTTATGTGATGAAGATGCTCGATAAGACGGGGCTTCGGGAAATTCCCCCCGCAAGTGTGGAAAAATCCCGAAAAACTTGTATGCAACTTTTTTGTTTACCATTCGATCGGCCTCAAAGTCATTTTCAAAGATCTTTGTTCAAATTAATTTAAGGAGTGTTTCATACTTTTCGAAAAATCCATTCCTTCTTGGTGGAAATGGGGGTCAACGTTTTGGTGGGTGAAAGGAAATATCTAAAATTTTTACCACAAAACGTTCCACGGGCAACGCCCTCCAATACCCGCTAGTATATATATATATATATATATATATATACATGGATCATTTTTAATTTTAAGTCTTTTGCTCTTGCTCAGATTTCATGCAGATGCACTGAAGGACACGGCTATATATCTGAACAAGAATATGTATTTTATACCTATATATTCCTTCTGCTTGTAACATGCATTTGCACAAAACCAGTTTACCCAATTTTCAGCAAATTTTCAATGGCTAGAGGGCTTAATACTTAGGTGTGCTCCATCCGATCTAGTTGGTCTAGTTGGTATATCAACTGTCATGTTAATTAATTAAGTTTTAGCCAAGTTTTACGCTGCTCGTCCAGTTTCTAGCCACAACACCTGCTAAGTGGGGCTCATTAGCAGAACTAAGGAATATGCAAAGTTGAAAGTTGAAGAGAGGCTCTTAGCATTTAACTTCTGCGCACGGCAGACTCCATTCAGCGTATCATTTGGCTTGATTGTCTGCTTCCTGTCTACGCCCCAGGATACTTGTAGCATATTGCCACTAGAATGCGGCGTATGCGCATCCATATCGCGGCACACACACCACGCACACTACGCACACCACGCACACCGCCGCATACATCAAAAGCGGCGGACAAACTTTTTTGCTTGGCTTCCGTTCATATATTGCAGTGAATGGGCCCGCGTTGGCCTCTGCTGGCGTCTGTCTGGGATTTAGCTCCTGGTTTCTCTCCTATTTTTTTTTTTTTTTGTGACTGCGTCAACAAATAAGATAAGTAGTCTGTAGTTAATTTTTATATGTCTATTCAGGGGGCGCCGCCTTGACAATTGTCAATTTTCTTCCCATATTTTTTCCTGCTCCTGTGTGCGTGTCTCTCTGTGTGTGTGTGGGTGTGTGTGTTTTTCGCGTCTCTTTTTGGTGGCGTTATTGCTGTTCATTTCGTCAATTTATCACGAACGCAATTTAAAAATCAAATCGAGGGTGACAGACGACATACTGTGATAGAATTTTTTCCTCGCCAATGATTTGCCTTGGCCCTGGCCCTGTCTCTGGACCTGGGCCTGAGCCTGGGCCTGGGCCCTGAACCAAATTAAATCAGCGTAACTGTTTATTCAAATCCCCAAACATGGCTAACAACAGCGACGGCAACTTTTACTTTTTTTTTGTCGTCCTTTGGATATTTTCTTTGCCATCTTTATCATTTTGTTGCTACTTTCGTCAAGTTATTTTTCTTTTCCATTTTTTTTTTTTTAGGGGGCGTCATTTTCTAGAGCCCGGCATGTTTAAGTGCGCGCTTTGCAGCGGCATTTGACAATTTGCTCATTAAGTTTGTCTGACCCCAACCCAACGGACGCACTTGGTCTGGGGTTGCTACGCTTTGCTCTGCTTTGCTTTGCTTTGGCTTGGTTTGGTTTTGGCCTTTTTCCCCTCGGTTCTGTTCTGTTTTTTATGTCACCCTCATCAGCATCGACAGATTCTTGTTGGCATTTTTAAACGTTTCAAGTGGCAAATAATTCCTTGGGATTTACTTGCAAATCTTTTTTTAAACATTTGATTATGGGACCCGGCTACAGTTACGCTTCGATCTCCATGCCGGCCCAGCTCGGACCGGCCCCGTCCCGGACCGGCTCTTTTCTTACTAATTACCAGAAAAATAAAATGGAAAAAAATATGCTCGCAATTGCAATTGAAAGCAGCGGCAAATGTTGTACAAATGGATTTAAATTATCTGGCGCCGCTGTTGGTCCCTTTTTCGGTCTCTTACCATGAATTTTAATGTGCTACAAAAGGATTACGTGGGTCAAGTCCGACCCCGCCCACGGTAGCCCGACGCGCGCCTCATGCTTGTAAATATTTGCTTAATTTCAATTAGCAAACAAATGCAAATCCCTTGTACTAGAAAAGTGATGCGTGCAATTGTTGTTGCCTTATTGTTGTTGTTGTTATTGTTGCTGCTGCTGTTGTTGCTACAACTAATGCCACTTGCAGTTGTCAAGGCTGCAGATACCGAATGCCCCTTGGTCAGCTACGAATTATGTTTGCGCAGCATGTGCTTCAATAGACATTCAACCGATTAGCGTGGGCTGCTCCGTAAATTGGACAACACCTTGGTGAGGTACCCAAAACGTGCGGCAATTAATCGATATATATTTATAAAAGAGTTTTTTTGACAGACGGACTGACTGTCTGATTGATGGTGATCAAAGCATAGCCTTAACGATAACAAGCGTAAGGTCGCCGGCTCATTATTCTCAACTATAATATTATCATATGTGCTCCTTGGATAACTCTAACTAGTCAAAACGAAGCTAAGGGATCAACCCCACGACGGCGGTTCTTTAAGCTAACGTAATTTGGACGAATTTCATCATGTTTGCAGTCTTTAACTTCAATATAATGTCAGAAAATTGGGCTTAATCGTGGCGCGAGCTGCACTTTGCACAGAATAAATATATTAATACTCGGCTCACGAAGTCAATCACATTGCAAATCTATACCTCTGACATTTTTGCTGCAAGAGCCTCCCAAATTTGGAAAGTTCATACCTTCTTTAGAGATTTTGCCCAAAATATTGCGGCCACACGTTCATAAAACGCAAAAATCGATATTTCCCAAGGTCGGGCCATAGTCTTGGAGAAATTCCATTCACATGAGTGGAAAAATCGCGAAAATGGCTTGCAACTCTTTTCACACTTTTCTCAAAATCCATCCGAACTGGCTGGAAAATTCTTGATTGAACATGAGACATGGCGTTCAGAGAAATAATGTGTGTAAAAGCGATATAAATATGAGCTGGGCAAGGCCGGGCAATACCCGCTAGTATTATATTTTAAGTAAAAATATTATAGGAACTTTCGAAACACCACTCGCAGCTGCAATAGCAACGTTTTGGGCTTGGGGCTGGGCTTGAGTTTCAGGGTTGGGAGCTGCTTTTGCATTTTTGTGCACTCGTAATTTTAATGATGTGTTCTATGCTGCGTATGCGTAATGTGGGCGCAATTAGATAAAATGGTGGCATCGACTGTTGCAACTGTTGCAGCAGCGGCAGCAGCTGCAGTTGCATTCAAGCGGAAACTGAATAATCCACACACATGGGAAATGCATTTGGCCGTTGTCTACTAATGAATTAAAATCTTCTGGACGGCTACGGAAATGGGGAGGCCGAGCATATGTAATTATTGTTGCCATATACATATGTATGTGTATGCATGTAAATGAGATGTGCTCTGCATGTTGCACGGCTGGTTGTTGCACATTGATGTGTAAGCACTTTGAAGTGCATT